TTTTTTCTGGTTTTATACCAAAGTCCAATATTTTCCAGGTGGAGAATATACAATATTCAGTCCCTTAACTAACACTATTTTTACATATTTTATTGTAACATGGCAACACTCACTGCTCATCAACATTCCTTGAATATAATGCAAGAACGGAAATTGCGTGTTATTTTACAATGGTAAATTTCACTTTTGCCTTGCCGTGGCCCTACAATGCACTGCGCGAATATTTACCAAAGTATTCATTTTCTCACTTCCCTACGTTCGGTTTAATGCAAGACCTATAGTTTATGATATTTATTGCCAGTGGCAAACAGTTTGCTTCGCATACAAAAACTCCCACGAGGCCATGGTGTTGAGAACATTTTGAATAATTGGTTAAATTTTGACGGTCTGTTTATTTTGGCGGTCGCCACAGCCACTGCCGACACCATTTGTAAGCACTGAACCTCTCTAGGTCTGGTTGCTGATGCGGTGTGGTTGGTCGCTCGGTCGGTCGGTGTTCTGTGATTCCTTGCGGTATTGATTTATTTGCTGTAATTATTTTTAATTGTTCTTTTCTGTTCTTTTTTTAATTTTTTGTTGTTGTTGTTGTTGCCATCGTTGTCGACATTGTTTGCTCAGTTCGTTTTCCCACCATTGAATGTAATTATGGCGTCAAAATTTGTGTGTGTGTGTGTGCGTCGGCCTGTGTGTGTTTGTGCGGAAAAGTGTTGGTATGTAAATTTAATGAGGATGAGATTCATTATTTCAATTGGAATTGTGCAACTTTACCGGAAAATATTGCACAACTTTTGTTGCATGAGCGTAATTTGCAGTGTGTGTATATATGTGTGTGTGTGGGCATTAGTGGCAAGGGAATTGATTTTCCCCGTTTGGATTTTTAATTTACAAAGTTATGGGCGGAAGGATGGCAAATTAATCTACACAGAGTCAATAAAAGATTATTAATCTGAAATCCTAGGCAATTAAGGACAATTGTTGATGACTTTTTTATTTGCAAATTATTTAAATATAATTTATTGGAATGATATTTTGTCTGTTCTTAAACTGATGCTACATAATCTTGATCTTCTTTAATTTCAAAAAAGTATCCTAACAATTTTGAATACCATCGCTGCATAACCGCTGAATTGCCATATAATAGCATGCAAACTAATTCTGAACGAAAAACAAAATATTTAAAGCAAGAGATGCCTCTGTGTGTAAAAAATCTACATTTATGCTTCACGTCGACTAAAAAACTACGTGGAAATGAACTTTCCTAACCGACAAAAACATGTTTGTCTTCTTTTTCACACACACACACACAAACTTCCTAAATGGCATGGAACATATTACCATGAATGTAATGTGAATGCAATAAATAATTCACGTACAGCGCTGTGAGTGTGTCACTGTCAATAGCATTACAATGTGCTGCTGTAAGTTTGGCTCTTGTTGTACTTATCGGGGGAAAATGTGAAAAAGGAAAATAAATCGACATATTTAACATTTTGCTGGGACTCCTTTCACAGAATTTCAATATCAAGGAAATATTGATTTTTCCACGAAAATGTTATTAATTAATTTTATTTGTAAGTGCCTAGTGGGAAGAGTTTGTTTTTTTCATTTTGTGGGATAATAATTCTTCTTCAATTAAAAAATTAAAATAAAATGTTTCCTTTCACTTCCTCTTAATTAATTTAATTGTGCTGAAAATACAGTGAAAGAGCGTTTGCAAACCCATTGAACAGTCTTGGTCACTTTCTTTACGCAGTGAAACGTCTCAACAGTGGACATCGACGATCGACCGAAATTTGTCCATTGTAAGGAGCTGTCCGCCATTCTCCTTCTGTCCCTTTTTTTTAAATAAACAAAAATTAAAAAACTTATTTAACATTCTTTATTCATCCTCCCATAGACGGACATCTTCTTATAATGGACAAATTTCGGTCGACCGTCGCTGTCCACTGTTGGGAGGTTTCACTGTATATAAAATCAAAGCCCAGACGATACGACTTAAGTTAGAATCTTGAAACTTTGCACTAGGGCTAGTCTTGGTGCCTAGGCGCGTTATAAGACTGGGTTTTTTGAAATGTGTACTAATAGGGTACGAATAGTACTAAAATATACTAAAAATTGAGTGCTCTGTTTTTGACAAAGAATCTAGAACTAGAATTCTAAAATTTGAAATGAGGATCACCATGAGGTTTTTTTTACAATCTTGTACTGTGCGAACAGGTAGTGCTTGAATCCTGAAATTTGGTATTAGGGTCGCTGTCCATGCGTAGCCCGTAATTGTACAAAAAATGCTAATGGTACTAATTTGGTATTAGGCGAAGAGATGCAGTGTGAAGTGGAAAAAACTGCAACCAACTTCAGACTGCTGTCATTTCTAAGCCACTCGTCCAACAGCTGTTAAAATTATTCCAGTGACACCTCATTATATTGTTTAGAACTGTACAAAAACATTTTGGTGTGAATTTTCCAGAAAAAAAGTTATTCATGATGGAATTCAAGCGTGATAGTGTGATTTCTTTATATTTGGCTGGAAACCTACAAGTGGCTATCGGTAGAGCACTACAGCATTTAAATGCGAATAAATCTTTTGTGTCTCGTATCATCGCTCGTTACCGTGATACTTGTAGCGTAGCCCGACGTCAAGGAAGTGGACGGAAGAAAACAGGAACATCAACAGAAATAGTTCGAAAAGTAAAGAAACGACTTGATCGAAACACGCGCCGAATTTGGCTTTCTCCGATGAGAAAACATTCGTTGTCCAGTAGTTTGTAAACAAACAAAATTATCGTGTTTACTTGCCAAAGAGGTCAGCTGAAAATGTGCACCTTCGGTTGGCCACCATAGCTCAAGCGCCGGGCATGGTGTTGGTGTGGGCTGCCATAACAGCCGATGGTCGCTCTCCGTTCGTATTAATCGACTGTGGTATCACAATAAATGCCGAATATTATGGAGGGTATATTAAAGCCTTGGGCACGCAAACATTTTGGACGCAGACCTTTTACATTCAAAAAGAGCTCAGCACCATCGCACTTAGCAAGCGCCCCCCAAGAATGGTTACAAAATGAGGTTCTTTGCTTTATTTCGAGCGCACTTTGGCCACCAAAAACTCCGGTTTGAAGTATTTTGGAAAGCAGAGTTGGCACTAAAAAATACCAAAGTGTCGATCACCTCAAGTAAGTGCTTCCCCGAGAATGGACCAAAATACCGCAGAGCAACATTCGGATAGCGTGTGTCAATTTCATTGGCCGTTTGATGGCTATAGGTCGTGCCAAAGGTAACCAATTCGAACAAATTTCCGACATTTTTTGCTTTCATTCAATAAAATTAAAAAAATGGTAAGAACAGTTTGTTGCAATTCATTTATCTTACCCTGTATGTATGTTTCATCCGATTTAGTGTTTAAGTCCCTCACATCTGTAATATGAATTCGACAACGATGATAATTGGTAGCAGATATCTTATAAAACTCAGAAATACCTTTGCCAAATTTTATCGAGAACGGCTAAGATTTGGATATATTTCCCATATATATCCTTAATCCACTTTCAGGTTTATTGAGCAAATAATGACTAATATCAACGCAAATGGAGTGAATCTCGAAACGTACGTTTCCATTTTTTGCAACACGGCTCCGATATATATTTTTTAATATAATCCTCCTTCAAGTGATATCATGCACTCTGTAGCAAACTATAAATGCTCTACAGGCAAATGTTGATAGATGGTATGATCTACTTGAAATAAATTCCTGTGTTACGAGAGCACTACTAAATATGCATAGTGGTGTAGGGTATCATAAAGTCGGCCCCGCCCGACTTTTGAATTTTTCTGACTGGTTTTAATTTGTTAAAAGTCGTTAATAGGATTATAGCAACGTATCCGATCCGCTTGAAATACCATAGAGTTTTTCGCGATTTACATAAATTTTTAACTTAAAGATATAAGCTTGTGTTTCTTCCGATATTGTCCTATTTGATCAAATTAACAATAATAATATATACTTCCTTTGTCTTGGAATAAAATATGCTATGAAGTAACCTGTAATTTTGGCCGGGCCGAAATTTGAATACCCTCCACCATTTGGGAGAAATTTGGCAATTTTCAAAAAAATAAAATCCGTTAAAAATTCTTTAAAATATCACAAAATACCGAATGTTGCCTATGTACTATACGACGACGTGGACCAGCATAGGCAACTTTGTCATAATCCATTATAATATTCAAATGCGAAACTTGAAAAAAAACGTGAATAATGCAACTAAAATCATAAAAATATGGAATATAGCTATACCAAAACGTGGTCAAAGGCTGTAGTATCCATTGCTAACTTCATTTGAGTAAAATTCTTCAAACCTATAGAGTAGGTTGTACGGAAGCTAGAGTGATTTCCACAGACGGATAGACGGACAGATATCGCTAAACCGGCATAGAATTTTATGCTGATCAAGAATATTTATATACTTTGTGGGGTCTAAAATGTATATTTCGAGGTGTTACTAACGGAATGACAAACTTAATATACCCTGCATAAAAATATTCAAAACATCTTTTTTACGCTCCTTAAAATTCTGTTTTTTAATTGTTTTAATTTGTTATTAAATAATTGGGAAACTAGTTTACTAAAATTCAAGCTATGTTTACTAAAAATCAACCCATGTTATCTTCTTATCCCATATACTGGGGAGAATGACCTCCCTTCATGAAATTTGTTGTATTTTGTATTGTCCTCATCTTCTGACAATGTAAAATTAATCCACTTAATTAAACATATTTAACAACTTCGTAAATTTTTGCACCGAAAGATTTTAATTAAAAATACAACTATAACAATGTTTCCAGTTTCCAGCAAGCATCCTATGACACCGGGGCATTGGACTTTGGTTTTTTCAGAAATCTCTTTAACACAGCAACTCAAGCTAGTTGCAAGTGTGATGGGTCAACAATAAGAGATTAAAACACACACGCACATGTTCGTACAACACAATAGAGATTTATTAACTCACCTGTGCTTCTTGCCGTCAAAATGTTTTTTCACCGTCTCGATGTGATGTTTATTGTCGTAGTGGTTGTTCGCGTGATGTTGCTGCTGGATCTCGTAATCGTCGATATCGATGTCATGCATGATGGCCAGGGGACTGAAGGGATTGTTGTAAATGGATATGCCACGGCTGTGATGACCTTTGTTTTGTGTGTTTTTTTTTTATTTGTAGGTGACCAAGGCAACAACGGCAAGCAATCGCACAAAGGGATGCGAATGTTCGTAGAAAGTCAACGTATTAAAGATGAGCGCACAGAGAAAACAATACAAAAAAGTGATGGAAAGAAAAAATAGAAAAAGTTAAAATTAATTAAATATCAGTTAATGTACATTAATTGGGATGATAAAACTTGAGTTAAAATGTTTTAAATTGTAATTTAAGTATTAGGTAATATTTTTATTTAATAGACATAATGGGTACATATAACGCGATGCGTTCAAAAATCACCAACATATCCATTTTAAGCCTCAATTTGATTTGGATGAGATTTGTTAATAACACTTTTAGCAGATAAAATCTTGTGTATCATTTAAAAAAACCCTTGACGAAAGAACCTTGTGTTAATAGGCCCGAATTTTTCAATAATGATATAAAGTTAGAAGATAGACTTTATGGCTACAGGGTGAGATGAAAAAACTGCAACTTCAGACTGCAGTCATTTCTAGGCCACTCGTCCGACAGCTGTTAAAATTATTCCAGTGGGAACTCATTATATTGTTTACAAGCGTATAAAAGAATTTTGTATAATTTTCCTAAAAAAAGGTTATTCGTGATGGAATTCAAGCGTGATAGTGCCATTTCTTTATATTTAGCTGGAAAATCACAAGTGGCTATCGTACGAGCATTCCAGCATTTAAATGTGAATAAATCTTTTGTGTCTCATACCATCGCTCGTTGCCGTGATACTGGTAGCTTAGCCCGACGTCAAGAAAATGGACGGAAGAAAACAGCAACATCAGCAGAAATGGTTCGAAAAGTAAAGAAGCGACTTTATCGAAGCCCGCGACGCAGTGGCCGAAAAATGGCTCATGAGCTGAATATATCGCAATATTCCATTCGGCATATGTTGAAAATTGAGCTCGGGGTGGAGTCATTGAAATTCCAAAAAGTGCAAGAACTTACACCGCAACAGAAAGAAAATAGACTCCAAAGAGCTAAAGAGTTGCTTCGCTTGGCCGAAAGTGGTGAACTGTCGAATTTGGTTTTCTCCGATGAGGAAACATTCGTTGTCCAGCATTTTGTAAACAAACAAAATGATCGTATTTACTTGCCAAAGAGGTCAGCTGAAAATGGTCGCTCTCCACTCTTATTAATCGACGCGACAAAATGTTATCGCTAAAATATTCTGGAAGGTGTATTAAAGTCTTGGCCACCAAATTCTCCGGATACCAATCCGTTGGACTATTGGTCTGGAGTATTTTGGAAGGCAAGGTTGGCACTAAAAATACCAAAGTGTCGATTACTTCAAGCAAGCGCTTCGCCGGGAATGGGCCAAAATACCGCAGAGCAACATTCGAACTGCGTGTGACGGTTTCATTTGTCGTTTGAAGACCATAATTCGTGAAAAAGGTTACCAATTCGAACAAATCTAAACTTATTCTAAAATTTGATGCTATTTCCGAATTTCTTTGCTTTCATTCAATAACATTTAAAAAACAAATGTAAAAATTATGGCGTTTGACTTTGTTTGCAGTTTTTTTTAATCTCACCATGTATATGTTGAAAAAGAGCCTAAATATCCGTCGTACGATTGGTAATATATTCAGATTAATCAAAAAATAAATGTACATGTAAGAAACACTGCTAGCGTCACAATACTCCCTTTTTCTAATCGATACTCATACATTTTATATTAAAGTGATTACACAAATTTTTTTCTTTACAAACTTACATGAGAAAACACAAACACACTCTCCCACTCACACACAATAACTCCGGTACATATTCTAGGAACACCAGCCTTTTGACGTGTGACTTTTCTATGTTTGCCTTCAGTATTCTGGTTTTCATTTTCATATTGCTTCGAAACTCAAAGAAGGAAGGGAATAAAATCTCAAATTTCTTCTTTTATTACAACAAATAAAATTCCTAGAATTTTACTGCTTCGTCTATTCGTCCAGGCCAGAGTCCACAATAATATTGACGTCATAACAATGATATTGAAAACCATTAAAAGAATTTAAAATAAATTTTAAATGTGTAGCTTGGAATAGAACAATAATCTAAATGAAATCCTTGATATTAGGATGTTTATCCTTTTATTTGATTTTGAGATATTGGAAGGAGGGGTTTGTTGAATATTTGCATTGGAAATAGGTCAAATCGAATTACAAAAAATATACAAATATTAAAGCACAGAAAACGTCTATTTGAAAGAGCAATGTATTAAAGGATATAATATACGTCATAAAGTCAGTGAAGAAATTCAACTTAAATAAGAATTCCACTTTTTTATCGTCTGCCTTATGGCTACAGAGATTATATATAATTCGATGCGGCCAAAATGTACCCCTTCTATGGTTCAAAAGTTAAAAATTTTCCAATAAAGAAATAAAAAAACTCATATTCAACGAGGGAAAACTTGACATATAAAATTAATCATGTTGGACTAATAAATAATAACCATATGGGAAATCAATATCGAATTTCCTTAACATTTTTCACATTCTGCTATTTTTATACCCTACAACACTGTGTGTCGGGGGTATTATAACTTTGATTGGGCCAAAAATTATGTAACACCCTCATAGGAAAGTATATATGGATCTTCCTATCTCTCCAAGCTGAGTCGATCTAGCTATGTATGCCCGACCGATCCCGATCTACACGAAATCGAAAATGGAGGTGGGGTTAGGGTCAGAATAGAAGCCAATTGTTTTTGGAGATGATCGCATAATATTTAGGGGTAAAAATGGACCGAAAACTGAAAAATTTCCTGATCTTGCAGTTGCTCTACAGGCCGCAATTATAGACCAATCGAAGCGGAAGTTAGCACGGGGTTAAAGCTTAGGGCTGGGCAGAAGCCTTCCAATTTTGATTCATCGGGTAATATTTAGTGGGTGAAACATTTGTGTTAAATAAAAGTCAAATTTTTCATTAAACCGCTAATATTTTTAATCCCGGCGAAACCACAAATACACAAAGAGTTCAATTCTGACCGTTACGTAGATGCCGATAATTAATATATCGAATATATAAAGCGAAATATATACAATGTATATATACAAAAGAAGGGGATATTAGCTAGTATGCTTATATCTCACCAATGGCTGGACAGATTTTTACAAATGTTGTCAATTCAGAATGCCATTTTGGCATAAATGCAGGTCGCTTTCATTATCCGATTGAGATGAAATTTCGCAAACAATATTTGTTTGGCCCAAGGACGAACCCTTTTGAAATTGGTAATAATCGGATTAGATTAAGATATAGCTCGCATATATCTTCAAGCGATTTAGGGTTAATTGTGCACCAAATGGCTAATATCAGTCCAAATGACTAGTATTTTGGTACATCCCACCGAATATAGCTCCCATATATATCGTTAATCCGATTTCAGGTTTGTTGTGCAAATAATGTCTAATATCAGCCCAAATGTAATTAATTTCGGGACGTACGTTTCCATTTTGTGCAATTCGGCTCTGATATATATATTTATACCCTACACCACAAGGTCAGGGAATTATGTCTTTGTGCATTTGTTTGTAACAGGCAAAAGGAAACGAGATAGACTCATAGTTCCTTTTGATGATCTGCATCGAATCACATTCTGAGTCGATTTATGCATGTCCGTCCGTCTGTCCGTTCGTCCTTCTGTTCATATATTTTTGTGAACAAAGTACAGTTCGCATTTATTACCCCATCCAGATGAAATTTTGCACAAAACATTTGTTTGACCCAAGGACGAACCCTATTGAAATTGGAGATAATCGGTAAAAATTTAGATATAGCTCCCATATATATCTTCGTCCGATTTGCTTTTTATTGTGCACCAAACGTGTAATATCAGTCCGAATAGTATGGAATTTTGCACGTACAGCCAAATTAGGCCTGAGAATAAGTATACCAATTTTGATCGAAATCGGTTCAGATATAGCTATAGCTCCAATATATATTGTTCATCCGATTTGTTATTTTAGTCCTCCGCAGCCGTAATATGCACTCTGTAACAACAATATTTGGGGAAATATATCAGAAATACCTTTGCTAAATTTTATTGAGATCGGTTCGGATTTGGATATATCTCCCATATATAACTTCGTCCGATTTACTTTTTATTGTACACCAAACGTCTAATATTTGCCCAAATGGGATGAAATTTGGCACTTACGACCAAATTGAGTCTAGAAGCTAGTATGTCAAATTTGGAGAAGATCGATTCAGATATATAAAGTCGGCCCCGCCGACTTTAAGACTAGACTCTTTACTGGTTTTTAATATAATCCTCCTCCAAGTGATGTTATGCACTCTATAGCAAACTATAATTGCTCTAACGCCAAATGTTAATAGTTGGTATGATCTACATGAAATAAATTATTTTGTTACGGGAGCAGCTCTACTAAATATGCATAGTGGTGTAGGGTATCATATAGTCGGTCCCGCCCAACTTTTGACTTTTCTTTACTGGTTAACAAAAACTTTTAGAAAATACGAAATTATTCCCCTTATAACTCTTAATATTGCCATATTTTTTCAGCACTAAATCTGATATAAAGTTGGGATAAGCAGGTTCAATATGTTTGTATATACCTCAAAAAAGGTACACAAAAACAAGTGATCTAAAGATAAGGGTATATATTTATCAGATCACCGACTGAATCTTTTGAACAGAACATTCGATTGCCAAATAATTTTCTGGAAATGATAACTTCCAAAATAAGCCAATCTTTTACATAATGATAAGACCTGGAGTTCCTATGAACTAATCCATTACAAATGTCTAGTTTGGAGAACTATATATTTTAAAATAAAACATACAACTTCATAATGAATTCATATGAAATTCATATGTTCACCAATCAGTAAAATCAAAAGTTAAACTTTCATCTTTTTTAATGCATTCCCAGTTAATTGTAATATGAATTTTTTCTTCTTGCATTCATATGTACAGTAAATATCTTTAAATCTCTTGAATTATAATGGTGGCCCCCATTGATTCCTAATATTATATTTCAATTTTGTTAAGAAAGCCCCTTTGGATTTAAAACGGAAATAATCGTCTTTAGTTGAAAGGAAACCAAGAAAAATACAGAAGCAAAAGTAAGAAGAAGCAGAACAACAACAGACATTATAAACCATCATTGATACGCACAGCTGATGTACTTTGCTCGATGGAGGAAGAAATAAAAGTTTCTCGTTTCGTCAAGGCAGCCATACAATAAAACTATAGATTTAGATCCGACAAATCTAAATTCATTGAAATGTAGTTTATCTCAATTTCGATTCCCAGCACCCACACTGCCCTGACCTACACCTTGTAATGCCATACTTATTGTGTGGGTGGGTGTTTTTCGTGTGTGTGTGTGTGTGTGTGTGTGTGTAGGTAAGATGTCTACCCTTATCTGATGCTGTTCATGGCCTTCGTTCGTACTCGTTCTTCTACTTTGCCTTTCTTTAATGCATTTCTATGCCATAGAATTGTTCTTTGAATAGTTGGTGTCTGCAACAATCAACTAACAGCCAGTCATCTAGGCAAGCAGGCAGTCAGCCAGCCAGCATGATATTTATCCTCCAACAATAAATGCAGTTCAGCTCAATGCAATTGTTCGGTAAATATTCTATTAAAACATACCGTTTTTCTGGTCTTCCTTTTTGTATTATATATTGCGTTTTTCTCTTTCTTTTATCTACACAAAAATGCATATGTGTGTGTGTACGTCTTCAGTTTCTAAGAAATACAAAACGGAAAAATTAAGGATAAACTCTTGAAAAAGTTGTCAGCACAATATGGTGCAATGTATTTGAAAGGATATTGTGGCAGTATAGAGAAATGTGTATTATTCATTTTCAATGCGGGTAGAGTTTATGCGGAAAAATTATATGCAATAGTTTGAAATATTATTAACTTTCAACTCGGCTCGTCATGAATATGGTATTTAAATACCTAAATCTCAAAATTGATTCTCATTTTCTTTAATTCTCAAATCATACCTATATTCTGTTGATAGAATATGTCATCAGAAGTAGAGTTGTGTCAATTGAGTTAGATCGAAAAAACTAGTTCCATATATAGTTCCGTGAACTCCACTTATTTTTATGAAAACTCTGCGTATGAGTGATATGCAATTTATGACATCGCTCATACGTTTCGGAACTTGTATACTGAACTATGAATTAGATTGACACTTTCTAGGGTATCTTACTCGATTTGTCTAATGACGTTAAAATGTTTCGATTTCAAAAGAAGTCCTATTGGAGTACCAGGATGTGCCCTTTGTACTACACCCCGGTCAAAAATCTTGAAATAAGCTTGATGGTATATATGTATACAAGGTGAGATGAAAAAGCTGCAGCAAACTTCAGACTGCTGTCATTTCTAAGCCACTCGTCAGACAGCTGTTAAAATTATTCCAGTGAGGGACTATTATATTGTTAACAAGTTAACAAAAGCATTTTGGTGAGAATTTTCCAGAAAAAAATTATTCGTGATGGAATTGAAGCGTGATAAAGTGATTTCTTTATATGTGGCTGGAAACCCGAATCGGCTATCGTTAGAGCACTCCAGCATTTAAATGTAAATAAATCTATTGTGTCTCGTACCATCGCTAGTTACCGTGATACTGGTAGCGTAGCCCAACGTCAAGGAAGTGGACGGAAGAAAACAACAACATCAGCAGAAACGGTTCGAAAAGTGAAGATCGAAATCCGCATCGCAGTGGCCGAAAAACGGCTCATGAGCTGAACACATCGCAATATTCCATTCGGCAATATTGAACCAGTAAGGAAAGCTCAAAAGTCGGGCGGGGCCGACTATATGATACCCTACACCACTATGCATATTTAGTAGAGCTCTCGTAAAAATGTTTATACAGGGCAGTTCAGAGCTCTATGAGATATTTGGAACAAAATCAAAATCTATCTAATTCTATCGTGCATTTTACGACATAGCTATCTCTGAACCGGGTTTATCCAAATTTGACGTATTAGCTTCTAGACTGAATTCGGTCTTATGTACGAAAATTCAGGTGATTTGGGCTGATATTGACCATTTAGTGAACATTTAACCCGAAATCGGATGAAGATATATATGGGAGCTATATCCAAATCTGAACCGATTTCGATAAAATTTAAAACAGCTATTCCTGTGCTCCATCTAATACCTGGTACCAAATATCACGGTTGTGGAGTGCATAGTAGGAATGTGAGAGGCTTAAACACCAAATCGGATAAAACATATACATGGGAGCTATAGCTATATCTGAACCGATTTGATATACTTGCTTCTAGCCAAAATTCAGGTAATTTGGACTGATAGTGGACATTTGGTGCACATTTAACCCGAAATCGGATGAAGATATATATGGGAGCTATATCTAAATTTGATCCGATTCTTACCAATTTCAATAGGGTTCGTCCTTGGGTCAAAAAAATATTGTTTGGAAAACTCCATCTCAATCGGATAATAAATGCGACCTGCATTTTGTTCACAAGAATACATGGACAGACGGACGGACGGACAGACGGACTGACATGCATAAATCGACTCAGAAAGTGATTCTATGAAGGTTCTCAAAAGTAACTATGGGTCTATCTCGTTTCCTTTTCCTGTTACAAACAAATGCACAAAGACATAATACCCTTACCACTATGTGGTGTAGGGTATAAAAATGAGCTCGGGGTGAAGCCATTGAAATTCCAAAAAGTGCAAGAGCTTATACCGCATCAGAAAAAAATAGACTCAAAAGAGCTAAAGAGTTGCTTCGCTTGGCCGAAAGTGGTTTTATCCGATTAGAAAACATTCCTTATCCAGCAGTTTGTAAAAAATGTGCAACTTCGGTTGGCCACCAGAACTCAACGCCGGGCATGGTTATGGTGTGGGCCGCCATAACAGCCGGTGGTAGCTCTCCGCTCGTATTGATCGACCGTGGCACCAGAATAAATGCAGAATATTATTGCGAAATATTCTGGAGGGTGTATTAAAGCCTTGGACACGCAAACATTTTGGCCGCAGACCTTTGTCATTCCAACAGGACTCCGCACTATCGCACTCAGCTCGCGCCACCCAAGAATGGTTACAAAAGCAAGGTTGGCATTTAAAAAATGTGTCGATCACCTCAAGCAAGCCAAAGGTGACCAATTCGAACAAATCTAAACTTATTCTAAAACTTGATGCCATTTCCGACATTTTTTGCTTTCATTGAATAACATTAAAAAAAAAATAAAAAAAGAAGTAAGTTCGGCCGAGCCGATATTTGAACACCATCCACTATTTGGAACGATTTTGGCAATTTTCAAAAAAATAAAATCCGTTAAAAATTCTCTTAAAATCCTAAAAATACCGAATGTAGCCAATATATTAGGGTCTATTCGACGACGTGGACCTGCATAGGCAACTTTTGTCATAAACCATCACAAAATTCAAGTTCGAAACTTGAATAAAAAATTCCGTTAATAATGTAGCTAAAATCATTAAAATTCCGAATGTCGGGAGGTACCGTTATATTGGGACTTTACGAAGACGTGGTGCTGCACAGACAATTTTCCGTCATAGGCTTTTGTATCCATTGCGAACTTCAAACACCAAATTTGAAACAATTCCGGTGAATAATGTCACTAAAATCATCAAAATACCAAATATCGGGAGGTACCGTTAAATGGGTGATATACGAAGACGTGGACCTGCACAGACAATTTTCGGTCGTAGGCTGTAGTACCAATTACGAACTTCAACTACTAAATTTAAAACATTTCCGGTGAAGTAAAATTTTATCAACCTACTTCATTTCGTTCGGAAGCTAGAGTGATTTCCACAGACTGACAGACGGACGGACGTCGTTAAATCGAAATAGAATTTTGAGCTGATCAAGAATATATATTCTTTGTTGGGGCTAAAATGTATATTTCGAGGTGGTACAAATGGAATGACAAACTTAATATACCCTCCATACTATGGTGGAGGATATAAAGATGTAAAAATTATGGCGTTTTGACTTTGTTGCAGTTTTTTATCTCACCCTGTATATACGTAAAATGCCCGGTTTCCGAAGAATCTTAATCCGAATATTTCAAAAAGTGTTGACGTGGGGGGAAATTGCGTCCCCTACTTAGGTTACTTTGCTATGTAAACATTCAAAACGCCGATATACGTGTCTCTTTTTTTAGCTCTACTTTCATAAGCTGGTGGATATTCCCGAAAATTTTGAATATAGACACCCATTGTAATTAAAATAAAAAAAAATTATATATACTTACTTATTCCACTTCGACTCTTGTCATAGCGATCTGGTATATGGGGTATTGGATACGGATGATAAATAGTATATGGGGGTTGATAATATGAAGTTTGTTGCTGTTGTGGATCGAAATTGTGCTTTTGTTGCTGATGCTGTTGTTTCTTTTGTTTAGCCTGCAGTATATCGAATTCTTGTTCGGGTGGTGGCCTTCGATGGGTCTTGCCACTGATTGAATAGACATGATGGGTGCGTATAAATTTGTCGTCGACCTGTAATGAAGAGAAAAATGCATAAAAACAAATGATAAATGGTGCACAAAAAATGTTTCAGATTTGCTCAAAGGCTTGGTTTTTAAAAATAAGTCACTGTCAGTTATATATATTTATCCATTAGAAGCGTAAAGTTCTAAAAAATATTTTGAGTATTTTAAAAATCAAACCAACTCCCTCCTACCGAGGAAATATTTTATAAATTTTCTTTTGAATATCCTCTCGTTTACATATTACATCCGAACACGAATTTTATTTCAAGTATTGCATTTACATTCGTATATAATCAGCGCAGGTTCATCCTTGTTCTTTTGGACTTTTCTAATGGAAATTTTATTAAATATGACACGCGATTTAGAACATGAACTGACAATTGAAATATTTATGACCCTATTTACACGATTTATAATTTCAAATAATTTCCATGCAGGTTGGAAAAAAGTTTATAGCAATAATAACATTAATGAACAATATTTAAATGTGTGATTTTATTTGGCACCATTAGGTTCTTGTTTAAGGGAAAGGATAGTGAAAGACTATCAAACCAGAATATAATTTTCAACAACTGTGCCAGGTTTGTTGTTAATTTTTAACAGCAAAATATGTAAAGTGCTGTTACCAGCGATTTTAGTTCAGATTAGGTGTTTACTTAGTTGCCATGAAGGATTAGACTCGAGCAAAATTGTTCGTAATACCCAAAAAGTAAGGGCTAAATGGAATTTACTTTCAGTGACCAAAGTCGATAAGTACTTATTTCTTCAAATTTTTGTGACCAACATACCTCTTTAAAATAATGGGTGGGTAAGCAGATTTGTATTGCATATTTTTCTGAGTTCTTCTCACAAAAAATCTAAATATATGTCCATAAAGTTTTATATTCTTTTTCTGGCTGCTAAAAAATATTTTTGAAATAGGTGTAGAATATGCCCATCATTTGAGGTGGGTATTAGAAAATCCAAATTATTTTCCTAACTCCTGAACGAAACCCATTTCATGACATTTGGAGTCGATAAGGCTATGTATGTCGGCTGGTGCGAACGATAATTCTCAACGGGAGTATCCGATTTTGCCAAACTTGGTACATCATAACGATCATCACAGCGAACGATAATTCTCAAAGGGAGTATTCGATTTTGGCCAAACTTGGTACATCATATTTTTTTTACCAAATTTAGATTTAGATTACAGTATCTATCAACGCCTCCCCACACAAATGCTTGACATTTTACAAAACAGAAACCAAAATTAATATACTTCAGACTGCTGTCATTTCTAAACCACTCGTCCGAAAGCTGTTAATATTATTTCAGTGACTGCTCATTATATTGTTTACAAAAGCATTTTGGTGAGAATTTTCCAGAAAAAAGTTATTCGTGATGGTATTGGCGGGAAAACCACAAGGATTGAGGCGATATATATCATCTTCACCTCATAAATATTGGGATATGCCGATTCAACCGATATATACCATATTGTGCTGACAGAAATGTTTGGATATGCCGAGTTTTAGAGGAGTTGAATGCTCATTTTCCGCTTTTTAAGCTTCAGGATTATTCAAAAATGTTAAAAAGGGGTTGGCTGCTGAATTCCATCTTCAAACCAAATCTTGTGTTGAGAGGAATCGGATGCTCATTGCTCGATTTATGAGCTTTATGAATAATCAAAATGTTGACCTATTGTGGGGAGGTACCAAAAGGAGTGGACCAATATATTCTATCTTTATATCAAATTTTGTGTTTGTAGAAATATTGAAATGTTTGAAATTTTAAGAGAATCGCACACTTATTTCACATTTTATAAGAGTTATAATTATTCTAAATGTTGACCCGTTGTGGGTACCAGAAATCGGATACACCCTTCGAGAGCTATCGTGCGAATCAGCCAGCAAGCTAGACAGACCGACTGACAAACCTATATCGACCTCAAATGTCCTAAAACGAATTTGGTCCAAATAGACATGAGGTCTAAAATCGTTTTTTTTTCGATGAGTTTTGTATTGGCAGTATCAAATGATATATATTTCCTGTAGCTATATTGCTGAAGGCTCGTAACAATCCACGTTCCTGCGGCATAGGTGTCTATACCGACGGTTCAAAGATGGAATGCCACACTCTCGGAGAAGAGAAGAAAGTCGCTACTGTCATTGTCTAAACCGGACTTATGGTGAGTATTATCACAGGTCAATGTTAAGTGAGGGCAATGACCTCGAAATGGGACAGCGATGACATTGATTACTGTAGAATATGTCAGGGCGAAGAAGAAATTGAGACGATCGAACATTTGCTCTCCACTGTCCAGCACTCATTAACGTGATACGTTCTTTAACGCTGACCCTACAGCAATTCTTCATTTAGCCAGAAGATGTAAGTGGTTAAAGACGACACGGCAAGATCTCTAGCCGTGGACCACCCCCCTAACTATATTTTAAAACCTCTAACACCTTACTTTTTCTAATATTCTTCTACGACCAGCAGATCTTCGAGTGAAGCGGTTACCAAAAAGGCCACCGCGCGTCCTTTAACCTATACTAACATATATGGCTGAAGGTATAAAAAGTGATTATCCTCCACTATTTAGAAGAAATTTACAAAATTTCCAAACAAAGTCTTTCGAAAAATACTGCTAAAATCATAAAAATATCGAGTATATGGAGTTAGCGCTATATTGGGACCTATATGAAGACGTGGTTCTGTATGTACCATAGTTGTCATAGGCCATTATGATAATCAAATACGAAACCTGAAACAATTCCAGTGAATAATGTGGCAAAAATCATCAAAATACCGAATATAGGCAGGTACCTTATAGGCCCATATGAGAAGAAGACATGCTGCCAATAGACAGCAAATTTGGGTTAAAATTGTGATAAAAACCCATAAAACCCTTAATCTGTCGGTACAGTTATATGAAGACTATAGCAAAAAGTGGACCTACAGGGTGAGATAAAAAACTGCAACAAAGTCAAACGCCATAATTTTTACATTTTCTTAATTTTATTGAATGAAAGTAAAAAATGTCGAAAATAGCATCAAATTTTAGAATAAGTTTAGATTTTTCGAATTGGTCACCCTTGGCACGAATTATGGCCTTCAAACGGCCAATGAAACCGCCACACACTGCCCGAATGTTGCTCTGCGGTATTTTGGCCCACTCCCGGGGAAGCGCTTGCTTGAAATGATCAAAACTTTGGTATTTTTTTAGTGCCAACCTTGCTTTCCAAAATACTCTAGACGCAATAGTCCAACGGCTTCGTATCCGGATATTTTGGTCGCCATTGTGTGCTGGAAATGAAGCGTGGAACCTCATTTTGTAACCATTCTTGAGTGGCTCATGCTATGTGCGATGGTGCTGAGTCCTGTTGGAATGTGCACGATCTGCGGTCAAAATGTTTGCGTGCCCTATGCTTTAATACACCCTCCAGAATATTTTCGCGGTAATATTCGGCATTTATTCTGATGCCACGGTCGATTAATACGAGCGGAGAGCGACAATCGGCGGCCCACACCATCACCATGGCCGGCGCTTGAATTCTTGTTCTCTGGAAAATTCTCACAAAAGTGCTTTTGTACACTTGAAAACAATATAATAAGCTGTCACTGGAATATTTTAAACAGCTGTCGGACGAGTGGCTTAGAGATGACGGCAGTCTGAATTTGGTTGCAGTTTCTTCATCTCTCCCTGTATATGGGGCCTATACCAAAAAGAGGACATATATAACCTATTTCAATACCAAAAGTTCTGCAGATATGACACACATCTGAGTTAAATTTTATCTAAATTTTTCATCAACATATTTTCAGAGATGGTCAGACAGATGGGCGGAAATCGCAAAATCGACATAGAGCTGTATGTTGATCAAGAGTATGTATACTTTGTAGGGTCTTAAATTTATATTTCGAGGTGTTACAAACGGGATGACAAACTCACTACACCCTTCATACAATGGTGGACGGTATAAAAATGTTGGTGACAAATTTGTTCCCTCTACTTATCACAGCTGTAAATTTTTCGAGTGAGCGAAATAGCGGTCGGGCTGTAAGCATGAATTGTGTGTCTACTTTTGTTCACACTGTGTCAGACATGCTTAGTTAATATTTGTAATAATTACTCATGTTGTACATAGGAAGTTATGTACTTCACATTGTATACAAGTACATGGTATTAACGCTTGGGTTGGTGAGTTATTGTAAAATGTAAAAGCCACTTGTTTAGATGCATGCATATACATATACATACTACTATGTGATTATGTGTGTGCGGTACAAAACGGATATATTTCCCTACGGCCGCAATGTAATTTTAAGTTTGAAAAGTCTGTCGCGCCAACATCTGGTATGAGGCTATATGATAATAATGGTTTTCGTTAACAAACATATAAAGAACGGGGAATGGTAAAGGAAATCAAAGATAGTGAGTTTGAATTAATAAAGGGCATACCATTTTTGAAAGTGTAAGGAATTATAAGCATTTTTATGAACTACAACACTATGTGTTGGGGGTAGTATAAGTTTGATTGTTTCAAATTTGGTATTTGAAGTTCGTAATGGATACTACAGCCTATGACAGAAAATTGTCAGTGCATGTCCACGTATAGCCCCCATATAACGGTACCTCCTGATATTCGCTATTTTGATTATGTTAGAGACATTATTCACCAGAATAGTTTCAAATTTGGTATTTGAAATTTGTAATGGATACTGCAGCCTATGACAGAAAGTTGTCTATGCAGGTGCAGGTATTCGTATAGGCCCCATATATAAGTACCTCCATATTTTCGGTATTTTGACGATTTGACTTCCACGTCGTATAGACCCCAATATAACGGCTATATGTGGTATTTTTAACATTTTAACAGCACTTTTAACGGATTTTATTTTTTGAAAATTTCCAAATTCGTACAATTGTTGGAGGGTATAGCAAAGTAGAGTGTATTATAATTATATAAACAGATACATAATATTGATTATTTATTTCGTCAGTATGAAATGTACATAATTTCATTAAAAAAGAATACTTTTAAAACCATTGAACAAAGTTAATCTGCAAACTTTTTGGATCACAAAATGAAAGCAGAAGCAATTTTTTTATATTCTTATTGAGACTTTTGTATTTTCAGTAATAAAGTATAACAAAGAGTAATTAAGTTAATTCTTCAAACTATAGTGCATTATTTGAAAAAAAAAAAAAAATATTTGAACATTTATATAAGGAATGACACAAACAAGGGTTCATCTGTAATTGCAGTTAAATTAAAATACTCAAATGAACGCTTTCAACTCCGCATCATTCAAATGACAAATTCAATATCAAAAATTTTATTTTACTTATTTATTTATTTTTTTTTTTTTTTTTGACTAAAAAATTGTTGCCCCTATTTTTATACCCTTTATGTGTTAATTATTGTAGTTTAGTTACTTGCACATTTTTTTGTAATTAGTATAAAACTCAATATGTAATTATATCCCCATCTAAGAGACACATGCTGGTCATTGTCTCTGCATTTAATTAAATAACTTTGTTGCTATTTTGATTTTTTTCCTGTCAGCAGGAATGAGTAAAAAATCTTATTCATGGAGATTAAATTAAAAAAGTTTATAATATTTTGTGGAAATATTTAAAAAGGAATTTTGTATGATATTCATTTCTAATCATAAATTAAGTTATTCAACGTCAACAAAGCGGGCGGGGGGTAGGTGTTACTTCAAAAGTTTCTTCAAAGAAAATTCAAAATGCAGAGTGATTAAATAACTATAAAATTTAGAAAAATATATATATATATGGTGTTTTAACTCTGCATAAAACTTTTCAAAAAAAAAAAAAAAAAAAAAAAAAAACCCTACAACACTACAATATGTTAGAGGCCCCCTTTTGTCCAAATCCATTTTGCAAGATTTCCCTTTTTTTTCGCTTGTCACGGAGCACTTCCCAGATCTTACCCTTAGCATTTTGACCAGGGACATTTGCCCAATATTTGCGCACTCCGTCGTGCTGTTAGTTACAGCTAAATATAATCCAATGGTCATCCAAAATGCTAGAATTCTTCCATGTCCTTGACTCTCTTCTCAGTGTCGATTGGCTTCAATTGTGTGACCAAGAAAATGTTTCTGTTTTTGGTTCATTTGAATCCCTAAATATTTTGCGATCATCTCCACAAGCAAGTGGCTCATCTGTATCTCCAAATTTAGACTCATCTATATAATTTGCCTTTCTACGATATTTGGCTATATTCGTCAACGAATTCAGTATAAAAAGCCAGATATATAGCATGTAGGTAATGCTGAAACTTTTTCATAGAAAAGTAGTTGTCAATTCTACCCGCTGTCCCAGACTCTAACTTCTTGCGACATTTCGTGAGATTTGGTTTCTATTTGTGACCTTTATAACGGCTGCAAAATCAGGAACATTTTCAGTTGTTGGTCCATTTCAACTCCTGAATATACTGCGGACATCTTTGAAAACAATAGGCCTAGCCTTTCTGAGACTTACCCTACCCTTGTGAAAATTTTCGTGAAGATCGGACGATAATTGCAGACTGTATATAATAACCCTAACCTGTGTTGTAAGTTGAAAAAAAAAATTAAAAATATTCACTTCAATACTATAAGTCAAATTGAAAAAATCGCATGCGATAAAAAATATGAAAATATCAAAAAAATGTTACAAAATCTATATTAACATCGTTATTGACATCTTTTTGTGTGATATTACTTAGATTTTATTCCTTAATGCCAAAAGGGCATTCTGAATTGACAAAATTTGTCAAAATCGGTCCAGCCATTCTTGAGATATAAGCATTCTACCTAATATCCACTTCCTTTGTATATACATATTGTATATATATCATTATATATACCCGATATATTTATTGTCGGTATCTACGTAATGGTCAGAATCGCTGGGATTAAAAATATTCGCGTTTTAATGGAAAATTTGACTTTTGTTTAACACAAAAGTTATGGTCTATTTTACCTACTAAATATTACCCGATAGCCACCAAAATTGGAAGACTTCTGCTCAGCCCTAAGTTCTAGCCCCTTGCTAACTTCCGCGTTGATTGGTCTATAATTGCGACCTGTAGAGCAACTGCAAAATTGGGAAATTTTTCAGTTTTTGGTCCATTTCAACCCCTAAATATTATGCGATCATCTCCAAAAGCAATAGGCTTCTATTCTGACCCCAGCTTCACCTCCATTCTAAATTTCGTGAAGATCAGGCTATAATTGCGACCTGTTGAGTGATTACAAATTAACATGGACAGACGGACGGACAAACATATATTGCTAGATCGACTCAGCTCGGCGAGATAGGAAGACCCATATATACTTTCCTATGTGGGAAAACAACAACACTCAACAGGACTCAGCACCATCGCACTCAGCACGCGCCACTCAAGAATGGCTACAAAATGAGGCTCTTTGCTTCATTTCCAGCGCACAATGGGCACCAAAATCTCCGGATACCAATCTGTTGGACTGTTGTGTCTAGAGTATTTTGGAAAGCAAGGTTGGCACTATAAAATGCCAAAGTGTCGATCACCTCAAGCAAGTGTTTCGCCGGGAATGGACCAATATACCGCAGAGCAACATTCGGGCAGTGTGTGACGGTTTCATTGGCCGTTTGAAAGGAAACCAATTTGAACAAATCTAAATTTATTCTGAAATCTGAAGCTATTTTCGACATTTTTTGCTTTCATTTAAAAAAATTTTAAAAAAAATGTAAAAATTATGGCGTTTGACTTTGTTGCAATGTTTTTATCTCACCCTGTATGGCCCCCATACTATGGCCTCACCCACTTTATGGTTTTTTGAAAAGTTTGACTGTATTATCCAAAAGGTCTTACTGGTATTTATAACACTGTGCGATAGCAAAATACACACATTATCTAACTTTCCAATTGTGATTTGTGGAAACCCACAGATCACGAACATGCCTTTGGTTTTTCAGGGTCACTTCGAAAAATGATTTTATAACGGTAAATATATGGAAAATCCGAGTTTCTTGGGATTTCAACTTCAATCGCGTTATTTTTGTGTAATCATTTGTGTTTTAATTTTTTTTTTTTATAACAAAAACATTTTTTACCCATGTGACGAGAATATCCCAGACAAAAACAAGGGAACTGATGAGAATTGGTGGCTCTTTTCAAAACCTAGATATTCCCTGCCTTACCCCTGGTAAACATTACTATCGTTCTCCACTAATAAACAAACTTTGTTTGTATAAAAACAACAATAAAGGGTTAATCATGACCATTTTCCAACAACAAAATACTATGGTATCCCAAACAAAAAAGCCTACACCGTTCTATTTTAAAGAGTTTAAATTTCGTTTATTAGTGGAGAACGATGGTAATATTTACCATGGGGTAAGGCAGGGAATACCTAGGTTTTGGAAAGAGCCACCAATCCTGATCAGGATGAACGAAAGCATATCAAGTGGAGAAAGATGTAAATGTTTATAAGTGTGGTTGTAAGATTTAGAAGACTTTCCAAAAGAAATTTAATTTTATTTAATTCTTTGGTTCCTCTTCTATTGAGCTTACGATCTCGTCACTTGGGTAAAAAAAATGTTTTTTGGTATAGAAGTTATTTTTTAAATAACTTCTGGGGAGAATATCCCAGACAAAAAACCAGGGAACTGATGAGGATTGGTGGCTCTTTTCGAAACCTAGGTATTCCCTGCCTTACCCCCTGGTAAACATTACCATCGTTCTCCACTAATAAACAAATGTTGTTTTTATAAAAACAACAATAAAGGGATAAAGCCTGACCATTTTGCAACAACAGAATTTAAATTTCCCTAATGGCGTTTTGGAAAAATTTTCAAACCAGTCTAGTCTTATTTATTTCATTTTGTACACCATATGCTCCTTTATTATTAAACGTTTGTCACAATTTTTTGTTTAAATGTTATTTTTAACTTTATGAACATTTGATAACGTTCTCTGTCACCCTACCGTTTCCTGACATTTGATATGAACCAGGAAACGAAAGCTATTTTGTATTTTTTGTTTGTATTCATAAAATCACATTAAAAATAATAAATGTCAAACATTACCTTTTTGTTGTTGATTAGCCATGTAATGTGCGGTGGTGGACGAGCTCGTGTCGTATTGCAAAGAACCATTAGACGTTCACCAATAGCCACTGGACTTCGTTTGCGAAACCTAATTACCGGTGGGCCAGTTTGGGGTACTAATAATATAAAAGGGATAACAAAGATTAACGCGATTAGGATTATTTTCCTTGCAAAGCAAAACAAAAATTATAGTTGGCCTTTTAACATTTATTAAATGGACATTGGTAGTAATAATTTATGCTTGGAACATGATTATATTTAATACAGAATATACTAATTTATTTTTGTTTATTCCAAAAAAATATAGATTGTTCAACTAATTAATACTACAATATCTATGGCCTTGCTCAGCTGTACTTCCAACTTGATATCATAGAATATCTAAAAGTATCTACTTACAAAAAACACTCATTAAATGCTCGCCAGATGCTTTAGTATACAGCGGTGATGTCATCGATACTTCGCAATGAAATTGGCCGGACAGCTTGAAATCGACATTGGCCAGCGTCACTTGGGAAGCATTTGAATTTCCACGCTTCAATTTCCGTTTCCAAATGAAAAGAATAAATGGCAACAGAAGGCAATGGAAGAGAAAAAAATACAACAGAGAAAAGTCAACAATTAAGTAATTATTGTTATTAATTTATTCATATTTATTCGTATTTCCCTTTTTGTTCATTCCACAATAATTGCTGTGGACAATGGAATTGTTATCGCTCGAACGACGACACAATGAATCCCATGGATACTTACATCAATCGTTGCTCCTTCCAAGGTGAAATTTTTAAACGGTGGCTTGCGGCCACTCACATATTCAAAGAATTTCATTTCTTCCCTAAACCAGGAAACCTGCAACGACATAAAAGAAAATGGAAAAAAATTAGAACAAGGTTATACATTGCTGTAGGAATTTTCAATGAGATCAATAAATTGCATTTAGTTTTGGTTTCATTTTCAAGGTTGTTTAATAAAATATTTAAATTTGCAGAGGAATAGAATAAAAATATTACGGAAGGAAAGAAGCATGCAGCATAGACAAATGTTGAATATATTTTATAAAGAGGAGTTGATTTCTTTGGATTGTTTTAGAGAAATTTATGATTTTTTAAATTCTTGACCTGTGTGGACCGACATAACATATTATGAATTGGAGGTATAATATGTAATATACAATGATATTAGAGGTATAATAGTAAAATACAGGGTGGAAAAGGTAAAAAACTGCAACAAAGTCAGACGCCATAATTTAACATTTTTGTTTTTCAATTTTATTGAATGAAAGCAAAAAATGTCGAAAATAGCATCAAATTTTAGAATAAGTTTAGATTTATTCGAATTGGCCAACTTTGGCACGAATTATGGCCTTCAAACGGCCAATGAAACCGTCACACGCTGCACAAATCGTTTCTGCGGTATTTTGACCCATTTCCGGCACAATAGTCCATCAGATAGGTATCCGGAAATTTTGGTGGCCATTGAGCGCTGGAAATGAAGCGTGGAACCTCATTTTGTAATCATTCTTGGGTGGCGCGTGCTGAGTGCGATGGTGCTGAGTCCTGCTGGTATGTCTAAAGTCTGCGGCCAAAATGTTTGCGTGTCCAATACATTATTAAAACACCCTCCAGAAGATTTTCGCGATAATATTCGACCATCGGCTGTTATGGCGGCCCACACCATTGCCTGCGCTAGAGTTCTGGTGGCCAACCGAAGGTGCACATTTTCAGCCGACCTCTTTGGCAAGTAAACACGATTATTTGGTTTGTTTGTTTGTTTGCTGGACAACGAATGTTTTTCGTAGGAGAAAACCAAATTCGGCAGTTCACCACTTTCGGCCAAGCGAAGCAACTCTTTAGCTCTTTTGAGTCTATTTACTTTCTGTTGCGGTGTAAGTTCTTGCACTTTTTGGAATTTCAATGGCTCATTTTTCTATATTTGCCGAATGGAATTTTGCGATATGTTCAGCTCACGAGCCATTTTTCGGCCACTGCGACGCGGGCTTCGATCAAGTCGCTTCTTTATTTTTCGAACCATTTCTGCTGATGTTGCTGTTTTCTTCCGTCCACTTTCTTGACGTCGGGCTAAGCAACCAGTGTCACGGTAACGAGCGATGTTATGAGACACAAAAGATTTATTCACATTTAAATGCTGGAATGCTCGTACGATAGCCACCATCACGAATACCTTTTTTCTTTGCTTTTGTACGCTAGTAAACAATATAATGAGCTGTCACTGGAATAGCTGTCGGACGAGTGGCTTAGAAATGACAGCAGCCTGAAATTGGTTGCAGTTTTTTCATCTCCCCCTGTACATTGGTGATTTAGCGGTGGGTGAATAAAGCAGGAATCCTGATGATATTGAGATCTCTGTTGGTACCAAAATGTACCTGAAACTTGATATAAAGGTCAGATGTTGAGATTGTTCTGAAAAAGCTTACTTTAACTGTACGAAAATAACTAAAAGCTAATAAATTTGGTATTAGGTGATAGGATAGAGCTGAAATCCTAAAATTTGATATTGAATTCCTAAAATTTGATAGTTGAGAGGATGTGTTTTTATACCCTACAGCACTATGTGTTGGGGGTATTATAAGTTTGATTGTGTCAACATTTATGCTACTCCTTGAAATATTGGTTTCCCACATAGGAAAGTATATATGGATGTTCCTATCTCGCCGAGCTGAGTCGATCTAGCTATGTGTGTCCGCCCGTCTTTCCATGTTCAATCACTCTACAGGTCGCAATTATGGCCCTATCTTCACGAAATTTAGAATGGAGATAGGGCTAGGGCCAGAATAGAAACCTATTGCTTCCTGATTTTGCAGTTGCTCTACAGGTCACAATAATAAATCGACGCGGTACTTAGCATGAGGCTAGCGTTTAAGACTGGGCAGAAATCTTCCAATGTTGATGGTCATCAGGTACTATTTATAGGTGAAATAGACCATAATATTTGTGTTAAAGAAAAGTAAAATTTTCCATTTAACCGCGAATATTTTTAATCCCAGCGAAATCACAAGTCGACGAAAAGGCCAATTCTGACCTTTACGTAGATGCCGATGGTAAATATATCGGAAATATATACAATGTGTATATACAAAGAATGGTTGGTCCAATTTTGACAAATTTTGTCAACTAAAAAAAACATAAAAAGATGCCAAAAATGCTGTTAATATAGATTTTGTAGTACATATATTGTGACATTTTTTATTTTTTCATATTTTTTATCGCATGCGATTTTTTTCAATTAGACTTATAATATCGAAGTATACATTTTGTAATATTTTTTCACCTTACAACACAGGTTGGAGTTATTATATATACATATTGCAATTATCGTCCGATCCTCACGGAAATTTTCACAAGAGTATGGTTAGGCTCAGAAGGCCTATTGTTTTCAAAGTTGTCCGCAATATATCAAGGGATTAAAATGTTTCTGATTTTGCAGCCGTTATAAAGGTCATAAATAAAAATAAAGGACACAAAATCTCGCATGAAGTTAGAGTTTAGGACAGCGTGTAGAATGGACCACTATTTCTCTCTGAAAAATACCAACATTACTTACAGGCGATATCCGAAATACACAAAAGGCGAACTTCTGGCTATTTCATGCTGATTTCGTTGACTAATATAGCCAAAAATCGTAGACAAGCAAATCATATAGATAAGTAAAAATTTGGAGATACAGAGGTGCCTCTTGTTTTGGAGATGATCGCGAAATATTTAGGGGTTTAAATAACCCAAAAACAGAAAAAAAAAACAAGTAAGCAAAGGCTACAGTCGAGCGGGCCGACCGTTGAATACCCTACAACACTATAATAAACGATATATATTATATAGGCGAGATACTCGAAAGAATTCCACAAGATCTTGTGACAAATAATAAAAGAAAACCATTAGGTTTCGTTATCTAATTTTCGAATAATAGCAACTTAAACTAATTTGCTCATTTCCAACTTATTGATAGATGTTGCACGTAAAGGGTCTTCCTAGATCTGGAACCAATATTTCCCAAAGACCTATAATCTCTCAGAAGTGGCCAAAGATTAACATTTATTATTGGTTTTTGACTAAAACGCATCTATATGAGATACAGACATTTGACTATATTCTTCAACGAAATCAGCCTTAACGAAATAGTCAGAAGTGCGTCTTTCCTGTATTTGTGAATTCTCCAAAAAGTCACTGGAATGGACATTTTCGTATTTTGTCTACATAAGTTGGCAAACTATTTCACACATTGAATATTTTTGGATGGCCATCCTAAACTGCTTGGCTTTTGCAATGTCCGGTAACCCCCATTCAAATGTGCGTGAGGATCGGGCGATAATTACGACCTGCTGACTATTTTGCAGTTTTTTGGTCCATTTCAACCCCTAACTATATGGCGAGTAGGCTTCTATTCTGACCCTCATCTTATCCCCATGCAAAATTTCGTAAGGATCGGGCCATAAATGCGATCTGTATATGATATCCTGATATCCTAACTACTTAGTTTTGTTAGCTGTATAAATATTACCAAATGTTTAATTCAAAATGAAAATATGCCAAAAGTATGACAAAATTGAAAAAATATGAGAAAATTTTACAAAATCAATATTTTCATCTTTAGAGAGATATTTTTATGCGATTTTTTAGACGTTTTTTCTTTCCTGCCAAGAGGCCATTCTGAATTAATGAGAACTGTCGAAATCAGTTCCGCCGTTCTTGACATATAAGAGATCTTTCAAGCATATCTTCTTTGATAGACATATATATCGCACATATTTTGCTATGTTAACATCAATGTAAAGATCAGAAGTAACCTTGTCATGGCTTCGTGATTTCGCCGGGTTTTAAAATATTCGCGGTTTAATGAAAATGTTTGAATTTTTTCAGCACAAAAGATATGGTCTATTTTACCCGCTAAATATTACCAATACCCAATACCCAAATTGGTAGGCTTCTTCCCCGCCCTAAACTCTAGCTACATGCGACATTTTTTCAGTATTTGGTCCATTTCAACCCCTAAACATTTGGCGATCATCTCCAAAAGAAATAAGCTTCTATTCTGGCCCTAACCCCCCCTTCGTGCAAATTTCGTTAGGATCGGGCCATAATTGCGACCTGTAGCGTGATTACAAATTAACATGGACAGACGGACGGACGGACATACAAAGCTAGATCGACTCACCTCGTCGAGCTAGGAAGATCCATATATACTTTCCTATATGGGAAACCAATATTTCGAGGTGTTACATAAATTCTGGTCCAATCAAACTTATAATACCCCCAACACATAGTGTTGTAGGGTATAAAAATCCTGATCACACAATTGAAGCTATCGACACGCCTGAAAAGAGAGTTAAGGTCAGGTAAAAATTCTAGCATTTTGGATGACCATTGAATTATTTTTATCTGTAAAATGGACCAAAGCAACTAACCACATGAGGGAGTGTGTAAATATTGGGTAAATATCCCTGGTCAAAATGCTAAGGGTAATAAGTGAGCAGTGCTCCGTGACATAATTTGAAAAGCAAAGTCTTCCAAAATAGATTTGGACATAAGGGGTCTTCTAACATATTGTAGTCTTGTGGGGTATAACATGGTTGGTGCCGCACGACTATAGCCTTTGCTTACTTGTTTTATATACTTTTTAATAATAATCCTTCTCGAAGTCAAATTATGCACTCTATAGCAATGTTACTTGTTACGGGAGGTACACATGCCTCTGTCAAATTTTGTGGAAATCGATTCAGATTTGGATATCCCTGCCATATATTAGTTCTCTCTGATTCCAAATTAGTACTTCTCTTAAGCCATAATACGCATTCAAAAACCGTTTATAGTCGGCCCACCCAACTTTTGACTTAT